TAACTTTGCCTAGCAGGTGTTGTATTTATTTATCAAGTTCTTATTTTGTAATTAGTCCATCATATTGTTTGAAATTGACATTAGGTCATGATCTATGATCATAAAAGATCATAGTCTATGTCTGAAGAGATTGACCTTAATATCTGAACATTTCAAACTAATGTGGAACTAAAAATTCTGCAGTTATGCATATGCACATACATGAATGAAATTAATAATATATACATGCAAAGCATAATAGGATTTTGTATCTTAAAATATATTTTCGTAGCTTAAAATATATTTCATACTTCATAATTCAAATGCATAAAATTTTTAAAATTCTTCTATTATAAGAGGTTACAATTGGTTGCCTACAAAGGAGACCGTCCAAATTTAAATCGGTTGCCTACAAATGAGACCTTTCAAATTTAAATTGGTTGTCTACAAAGGAGACCTTCCAAATTTATGTTGCCATTTTCTAGTACCACATCTTATACAAATAATAATAATAATTGTACATACGTGCTTTAAAATTTTTAAATGCATTCTTGCATAAAACCTTGCAATTAATCATGTAACAAATGCAAGTTATCCAAAAGATATATGAACATTTATTGCAATATCCATCATAATGCAATAAAAGAGATGGACTTTACATTTGAAGATTTGAACAATATCCATCATAATGCAATAAAAAGAGATGGACTTTACATTTAAAGATTTGAAATATATCCATCATAATGCAATAAAAAGAGATGAACTTTACATATGAAGATTTGAACAATATCCATCATAATGCAATAAAAAGAGATGAACTTTACATATGAAGATTTGAACAATATCCATCATAATGCAATAAAAAGAGATGAACTTTACATATGAAGATTTGAACAATATCCATCATAATGCAATAAAAAGAGATGAACTTTACATATGAAGATTTGAACAATATCCATCATAATGCAATAAAAAGAGATGGACTTTACATTTGAAGATTTGAAATATAATCCACCATATAAAATAGAATTTAAAAAACCTAGCAATTATACTGCAAACATATGTTGGATAAGGCCGAGGAGGGGTTTACCTATTGATGTTCGAACCTCATGATTTTCATGTCTTGAGAGTAAAACTCATCTGCTGCAGACAGCTGCCACTTAAGTTGCTGAACAAATTTGCATTCACTTTTACCACCTTCTGTACTAAGCTTATTAGATGCATAAATACACTAAAGTATGGAATTATTAATAGAATGCACCATATTATTGATAGCTTAAAGAAATAATAGTATTAAACCATGAACAAATCCAGATATTTCAAAGCATCTATGCATCCAGAGTTTGTTCTCTTTATTCTTGTCAAAACCATGCATATAAAATTTTTAAGAATAAAATGTGCATTGCTACAAATTTATTGCATGTTTCAAATGCGAGCATATTCACTAGCACAAGGGAATAAGGGTAGGTTTTAGATGATTCTAACAAATATAAACTAGGCTTTTAGAAACCAATAAAGGTTGTTTGATATTCGTAACTTACAATAACTATTGATTATAAACCAACTATAAGACAAATGTAATTAACTGTTAAATTAAATTAACAGAAATATTTAGCTACAATTTTTTAATTATTATTATTTTTTTTAAATAACCAAAACTGTTTACATGAACAGTAACTTTTTTTAATAAAATGAACAGTACCGTTTTCAAAATAAATGAACAGTAACATCATTTTTAAAATTAAACAGTAACGTTATTTTTTTAAGAATGAACAGTAACGACATTTTTATAAATGAGCATTAACATTCTTAAAAATAAATAAATAGTAACGTTCTTTTAAAAATGAACAGTAACGTTCATTAAAATGAATGAACAGTAACACCAATTTTTTTTAAAAGATGAACAGTAACGTTCATTAAAAATAAATGAACAGTAAAGTTTTTTTTTTTATAAAAACATTAAAATTGTTTTAAATGAACAGTAATGTTTTTTTTAAATAAAATTAAAAACTGTTTTTTTTATGAACAGTACAATCTTTATTTTTGGAATGAACAGTAACAGTTACAATTTTTTTTTCAAATTTTATTTATAACATCAAATCAATAATACTAATAGATAAACAAATATAATTATAGTTAACAACAACTATAAAATTCCCTCTGTTTTTTTTTAGGTAAACAGTAACAAAAACTTTTTTTTTTAACAAAAGGTTAATTAATAGATAAGCAATTTAGTAGCAATTTTATTATTATTTTTTTAAATTCGGATGAACAGTAACCATCTCGAATGAACAGTAACTTTAAAATAATTTCATATTTAAATCAAAGCTATAAACTAATCAATCTTCTACATTGTTGGATAAAATATCAAATAATTAAAAATTATAGCATGTAGATAAATCTGAAAAAATAAACAATTAAAACTGGCCTGAACGGGAGCAGTCGTGTATTCACTGCCCTAGAAGATTGAGAACCCGCCTATCGCCCTGGCGCAGATGGTCCCCTCCCCCCTAGCGGTAAAAACCCCCGGAAACGGCCGGCCTCTACACTCGGGCGAGAGTGCAGAGCTTCAGCTCAGATGAAGAAAGTTACCCATAAAATAAAACTAAGATATGAAAATAATATATGTAGGGGAGAGAATAAAAACAAGAGAAACTTCTTGTTATTTTTTCTTTTCATTTTGAGCTCAACATATGGATATATATATAGGGTTGGAAAAGACGTTACAAAACCCGTAATTAATTCTGTAACGTTCGTCATAAATTTTGTAACGTTCGTCATAAATTTTGTAACGTTCCCCATAATTATATATCTGTTACACATATTTTAATTACATGTTTTAATTACAATATTTATTATAATTCATGAAGGCAAAAATGCCTTTTGTTAACAAAATATCTAACATATAGACCATGTGATGTATCTAAGTTTTATGAAGTCCTCTGTGATCATACCAATAATCCTTTAGGACGTGATCTTGGCCTCCCTACTTGTAAAAGCAAGCTTCTTAGGTCCATTAAGGACTAATATTTATAAATAGATGAACTTAAGTGCATAAACTGCATATTATCAATAATTAGCTATAAACATTCATTAATATATATGTTTAAAAATGACAATGATATTTTCCCAAAAGAAAGTGTTTATTGCGCTACTTTTGTGGTGCTATCATGGTACTTAAGAAAATGACAAAAATATCAAAGCCCCAAAATTATTAAATTTAATTGGAAGGACACCCTACATTTCATTCTCATGATAGTACTAGAATATTTCCTCACTAATGGTCAATTAGCTTGAGTCTAATCCAAACTTTATTTAATTCAAGGAATGTTGTCACCTAGCACTTAGACTTAGGGGCTGTTTGGTTGCACACTTTTTGAGAAAACTTTTCTCAAAACATCTGACAATGGCAAATTTGTAATTAAAAGTTTTTCAGAGATTTCTGTAAATTGTGTTTGGTTCAACAAAAAATTTACAGAAATATTTTCTATAAAATATCAAAACCTACCAAATTTTACAAAAAGCAATTTCCTCTCAAAATGAGAGGAAATCACCAGAAATCTGACACATACCATATTTAATTAAAAACCTACCAAATCTTGTTATTTTCTATAAAGTTATGAGCTATTTTCTTGTTTTGAACCAAACAAGCAAAGTACAAAAAAGAAGAAAATTGGTACTTTTTTATTTCTCAAAACTTTTCCTATAATTTTTTTAAGAAATACAAGAAAATCATATTTTAAATGGAAAACATTTCCTATAATTTATAGAAATTGAACCAAACACCCCCTTAGCCACGAAAAATAATCCACTTACAAAGATATATATGCCCAATGACTTCCTCTACCAACAAAGCTTGATGGACCCAATTGACGCTCAGCTTTCGCTTTGCGTTGGTCCCCCACCAACCTTGCGTTTCTTTCTATTTTCAAAGCTACCTTGTAGCTTTATGTTCATTTTATAACATATCATCGCTACTACTATATAAAAATCAAGTGAGGAAAATTAAAAAAATTATAATGAGATTTGAAGGGTGCAATTGTAACTTTATCAATAATATTTAGTTTCCTTTTTGATTTTCTTCTCTTCCTTTATCTTTCTTTGTTCAAGAACATTCTAAATCATTTTAATGACAAGGAAGCAATATAATAATTGAAAGGATCAATTAGTAATTGTACAATAGATGTTTTTCTATCTCTTCCATTAATTGTCTTCATTTAAACATTCTAGACAAGGCACATCCTGCCATTGAATAAAATTGGTACACATAATTAAGCAACTTTTTATTTTTAATATACTAGTATGCAATTGTGTGAATTATACGAAGATATTTGATCATAAAACCTATGAGATGAAGAATTGACATGAGATGGGGAGATGTGAGACATATAAAATTAAAAAGTGAAAATAAATACACACCATGATCATGGCTTACTATGTTACTATCATTATATTAGTATTACAACGATGTTTGTTTGATGTAATTTCATAATACTTATAGATAATCACTTTCTTTATAATAATCTTTTTTACTCGTTAGCGCTATCATAATATTTGTTGTTTTATCACTCACAGATTGATGGGGGTAAAAAAAGCATAAATAAAAACTAAGATGAAAGAGACACTAAAAGTTTGCAAAAATTAATAGAGGTGCACAAATCATTCCTTTAGTTTTTTATTTTTTAATATATAGTAGTTTACTCCTCTCAAAATCAACATCTTCTAGTTGAGAAAGAAATTGTTTTTGGACCAGAAATATGAAATATTTTCACACGTCGTTTATGAGATGACTTGATATAATATTGAGATATTAATGATTTAACGTAACTAGAAGGTTTAATTTGATGTAACTTAAATTAGCCAAGATTACAGACTTTAGATTCGTGGTTTCCCTTTGACAAATGGGCCTTTATAGATAAACATCAGCAAGAGCCCAATAGCTGAGCCACAATACCCAATGGACTCCTTTTTAATTCTCATATCAAATTTGTTAAGTGGGCTTTTGCCTTTTCAAAGTCTAGCCCTCGTCTCTACACTTTCTTCGGTTTTTCTCATTGCATTGTTCATTTTAAGTAGAAGAATGCATGTTTATGAATTTTCTTTTGATGGTTAAACACATGGGTCTGCTTTTATTGGATTTTTAATGAGAAACCTAGAAATTTCAGATGTATATAACTGTGTTCATGTTAATTTTTGTGTTAGGCTCTGCCAGTCGGAGGAGCAAAACTTGGATGTTTCTAAATGCAGCTGTCCTGTTTGATCTTATGCCTCAATGAATGAAACTCCTCAAATTTATTGCAGAAGTACAAATAACTTTCATCTATCTCAATGGCTAGTTTCAGACAGCAATGGGTCTCTCTCATTATTGTCATTATTATGTAATTCTTCCCATGTTGATTTGTTATTACTTTGATTTGTATGCCATTTCCTTGAAACCCTTTACATTTTTTTTGTCAGGGATTTTGATTCGGACTGCTTTGATCTCGGATAGGTTCTGAGCTCTGGTATTTTTCTCTGGCAATTTTCTCATTTCATTGTTCACTTACGTAGATTGTGTACTCTAAATTTTATTTTGATGATTTATGGTATGGGTTGGGTTTTCTTGGATTTGCAATGAGAAATTTCTGATGCACATAACCTTGTTCATGTTATTTTTTGTGTTATTTCTGCTGTTTGAGGAAGCAATTTGGATATTTGTATTTATGTTTGATTTCTTCAGTGGTTAATCCCTTTCTGAGCACATTAACATATATACTGTATGTTGCAGTGGCAGACCCAGAATTTCTTAAAAGTGGTGTCACAAGATAATTAATGGAGAAAATTTTATATATGCCCACCAGCGAGTTTTCAATTGTGAGCAAAAAATCAAATCTGTAGCAAGATCAAACAATCTCAATCCCACAAAGCCAAAAAAAACTAAATTCAATACATAAAATAACATTAATAACTCAAAACATAAACTTGTCGCATGAATTCCCTACATGAGGCTCAAAGTCATTAAAGAGGAGGGATGTTAGATGACTTCACATCTCTGTGGGTTGAGTACTATTACCATCGTGTAAATAATCTAGTACCTTAGCTAACCACTGCTATCTTGTAACTCTATCCCTAACTAATTATACTCTTATCTTCTTTATGATCGAAAAATTTTACACAATTAATGACTCGTTAGGTTATTTAGTGGGGTTGGAATGGGATGCAGTAGGATAATAGGTTTTGTTGGGATGAGAATTTTTTTAATTATTAATGGGCTTGGGTGTTTAGGATGTTGGAGTGAAGTGTTGTCATGTGACACCACTTTGCTCTAAGTAGATCCGTCCCTGGTATGTTGTCAAATAAGACCATTCAAATTTGCCCATACTGTGTCAAATTTTGCAAGTCATTTAGATGTACTCTTAACGTATCGTTTGGTATGTGGGAACGGAGTCAAGTGACAATGAAGTGAAGGAAAGAATGTAATGTAACAAATGTGGGAATAGAATGCCTATTCCATTCTCATGTTTGGGTGCATTTATAGAATGAAGCGGGAATGAAAATCTCATTTCCATTCCTATGTTTGGTATCATTTGTTCACAAGAAGTGAGAATGAAATTTTACTTTCTAATAATACCCCTTATGACAATATATAATTTTAAATGATAAAAAACGTTATAATGATAAATGACTAAATAGTTGAAGTTTTTTAAAAAATAATTGTTATAAAAATAGTCAAATTTTCACGTTTCAAACTTACCATGCAATGTTTTTCCATCTACCAATAAGTCTAGGGGAAAATATCAAAATCAATACTTCATGCATAAACCTTTTTTTTAATTGTGTTAACCCATAAATATGCATGTCAGTTATGTACCTGCATGTTTTCCCCCTTTTTCAACAGATGCTTGAAGCCACACATCAATTAACTAGAGTTGGTGATTTTAGCTTGAAGCCACGTACAAATACGAAGATGAATAGAAGCCAAACATATTTTTGTAAAAAAAAAATCCTCAATCACCTAGGATACTTGGTGCCAACTGTCGGTGGTTAATTGTGACCTGACAAAGAGAAAGAAGTGGTTGCAGGGGTTGAGAAGGAAATAGGATAGAGAGGAATGAAAGAAAAAATTTGTTGTGATTTTAGGATATCAGATCTATTTTGTATACATAAAAAAGGGTATATATTTGTTTTAGAAAAAGGATATATTTAGAGTTCGTGTTATCATTTTGATTTCTACTTTAAGTTGGAATGCCCATTCTCTGCTAACTCAATAGGAATGCCTGTTCTCACATAATGAGGGAATGGATGAGGCTTCCAAAAGTCTATCGTGTTTGGTAGGTATGAATGGGATGGGAAGTGAGAATGACATTACGTTCCCACCCATTCCCACATATTAGATGAGGCGTAAGTATAATGCAACAACAAAACATGTTCTTAATTGACAAATGATTAATCAGCACGTGCTTTTCTTTACTGTAAGAATCTAGTTGAATAATGGCATATGTTATAAATCTAGTTACCTTCAGTTTAAGTGTTTAACTTCTTAAGTTTCCATCATAATTTAGTTTTTTAAATTACATTAGTAAATGACAACAGTTAATTCTTTTAACTTGGTAGACATGCTAATACTTTTCACAACACAAAGCTAAGATATCATTTTGAAGCGGAAATCTGTAGTCACCATGACCTTCTTTCATCGTTGTTCACATCATTTGAGAAAAAAATAAAAATTTAATTCTCCAGGGGGAAAAAGAAAAGAAAAAGAATGAAGGGGGAGTGAAGTCTAGATTCATGAGAATTAACGAGTTGGTTCCATAACAAAGATATCATAAGGCGGAGAAAATTAGTGTATGCTACGGGAACCTAGGAAGTAAAATCTGGATGATACAATACTTCATATGTTTCATATAGTTAGAGCAACAATTTTCTTTCGCTTTCCTCAGTCATATCAAAAATCTTCCTCCAACTAGCATTTATTTTAAAGGGTTAACTTCACATAGACCCTTTGTAGCATCAAAAGTTTGGTTTTGGCAGATAGATATCCCCTGGATGAATTTTTTGACTCTTTTACACTCAGATAGTGATGAGGACAAGAAATGACAATTTTCATATTTGATTAGTTGACTTTCTTTTATTTTTGATTTTTGAAATTTGAATTTTGAGGTTTGTATTTTGAATTTTGAATTTTGAAATTTAGTTGAGTGATTTGAGGGATTGTTGTTTTGTTTTTATTTTTTATTGCACGTTGTCTGCACGTAGTTTTTCTTTATAAATAAAGTTGTAAGAGACTATTGAAAGGTAATGAATTATTGAATGAAAAAATATTTGTTAGCTAAATTTTGGTGTGAAGCTTTGGGTGTGAAACCCTAGGCCTTGGGTGTGAAACTCTAGGCTAAATTGTTCTCCTCTGCCACAAACAACCGACAAATTTTTTTTCTCATACACAGAAGCCAAATTTCTTCTCTCCTCACGTCAACAATTTCCAAACCCAGCTCCCAACTCCTCTTCATCCCTCTCAACCAGCCACCGCTCCTACTCCGAACAGCCCCTGGAATCCCTACTCTCCACTCCCAACATCCCTCTCAACCAGCCACCGCTCCTACTCCGAACAGCCCCTGGAATCCCTACTCTCCACTCCCAAGCATCCCAACGTCGCCGCCGACCTCATCCCGACACCTACCACGAGTCTCGACCCGACATGCCACCGTGTCCTCACCGCTTTCATCATCTACCATCTCGACGTCGTCGTTCGCATCACTGTTCAGTTCGACGCCACTGCCGTCATCATCTTCCCGCTTGACGCCATCGCCTGCGCCGTCATCTAGTCGACATCGTCGTTCTCATCGTCTCCTTCGTCGTCATTAGTTCACACGCCGTGGTCATCGCTCAATCTACGTCGTTTGTCATCGCCAGTTCACCCATCGACCCGTCAACCCGTCGCCACTTAATAGTCCAGTTCGACGTCGTCGCACACGTCGTCATCCAGTTCGCCGACTCCCGCCTCGTTTTTCAACACCGTCGCACTCGTCGTCATCGGATCTCCACCTCGTCATCATCGTTCAGTTCACCATTGTCATATCACCTCCAGAGGTCTCTCACGTCGAGTCTGTTCAGACCGACGAAGGTTCCGTTTTCTTTCGTCCATTATTCACCTCCAGAGGTCTCTCACGTCGAGTCTGTTCAGACCGACGAAGGTTCCGTTTTCTTTCGTCCATTATTTTTCTGTTAATTTTATTTTGTTAGTTAATGTTCAGACCGACGAAGGTTCCGTTTTCTTTCGTCCATTATTTTTCTGTTAATTTTATTTTGTTAGTTAATTACATGAGTATACCATCTCTAAACTCTTATCTTCTATTCACTGCTGAGATTATACTTGTGAGTAGAGAGTAACTGAACATGTGACTGTTACAAATCTGATATTGATTTTTAGAACTTGCGAAATGATAATGAATATAGTGGTTATATTGTTTGAGATTATAATTATTCATGATTATTAATGTAAATCTTATTAAAATCCATCTGTTACATTAATCATTTTGAATTTAATTTCCTGCCGAAAATCATCATTTTTGGCGAAACGGTATGTTATTCGATTTAGATCGTTGATTCCGACAGACCCCCTGTCATCGTTTCACATCATTTTTTGTATCAAGAGTATGGTTCTAGGTTAGAAATTTTTTATTTTAGTTGAGTCTTTATTCGATAAAAAAAATTAGTCATCTCATTTAGCTGTTAGTACATACATTCATCTCATTTAGCTGTTAGTGCATACCCATTCGCACGGATCTACCCTACCGATTGGGAGAGTCAAGTGAGTCAACTAATGAGTCAAACATGTCAGGCCATGTAGAGTCCGAACTCCTTAAGAAATTCGCTGAACTAGCATCACGATTTGATACCGTAGCCCAAGAGAGCAGAGCTACCCGTGAGACCTTCCAAAATGCAACCAGCGAGACACACACTAAGCTAGGAAAAGCGCGTGTTACAACTCCGCCTCTGCAAGGTCAAGGTCATGGGCACATCGTTCATCGACCCTTATCTCAACCTGTGCCTGATTCGCCAACCTTTGATGGTAAGTTCGACCCAAAAACTTTTTTGGACTGGCTGAAGAGCATGGATCGCTATTTCAATTGGTGCGTCCTGACAGAACCGTAAAAAGTCAAGTTTACCGCGATAAAACTCACCGGACCCGTCTGCTAATATTGATCCAACATCGAAATGTTAAGACATATTAGAGGTGAATTACCGATTTTAACTTGACGAGAAATGATCGACGAACTTAAAACGAAATACTTCCCGCCATCGTTCTATCATAGATTGCTCGACAAGTGACATCATCTTATTGAAGGAACCAAATCTACAAAAGAGTACGTTGCTTAATTTGATGAATTGTTTACTCGATGCAACACCATTGAACAAGAGGCACCAATGAAAGTCTTGTTAAAGTTTAGAGCCGGATTGAGAAGTGACCTCTAAACCAAACTCTTTGCTAGAAGAGTAGACACTCTTAAGATAGCTTACGCCTTAGTTCAAGATCTAGATGAAGCCAAATCCCATCAATCTCATAGGAGTCAGGATTTTTGAACTTATTCCTCCTAGTCTTTCCGTGTCACTACCTCTAGTCAGCCTCTGAGTCGATTTAACCCTAGTTCTTCACAGTCCAGAATCGATCCCAAGGGTAATGAGTCAGAGAGAGATTTCTCCAAACTTAGCCTAATAATTCAGTGTTACAATTGTCAAGGATATGATCACGTTGTTACCATCTGTACAACCCCTTTCAGAGTTAGAATTAATAAGCCGTCTATAACGGAATCAAAATCTATTATTGAGGAAACCGTTAACCAGACCATAGATTTGACAGAATCTAACTCTAACAAGAAAATCCGGGATAATAAAATTAAAGAACCATACACTTCTATTTCTTCTGAAACGACCCCTACAATTGTGGAGTTGACTGAAGTTTCATACAATGATAACACTCCGATTATTCCCCAAGCTACCCCTCCGATCACAGAGTTCATTGATGTTATCCCTGAAGTTGTTCATGAAATTAAAGATCCAACCCCTCCTGAACTCCCTCCAGTGATTAAAAACGTTGTTGATGTTTCCCGTGAAATCCTCCCAGACAAACATGACACCCACCCGTTCAAAAAAGGATCATACCTTTTGGGTAAGTATTCTTCTTCATTTTCATCATCACACAATCTGGTCGTTCAAAAAAGGATCATACCTTTTGGGTAAGTATTCTTCTTCATTTTCATCATCACACAATCTGGTCCTCTTTTCTAGCATATCTAAAGCAAGAGATCCCTTCTCTTTTTCTAGAATTTTTTTTCCACTTATTAATTCATTGTTTAAGTTGTATTTTTTTTGTTCATTGGTATAAACCCAATAATTATACAAGTTTTCTTGCGATAGTTTTTCTGTCGTGTACAAAGAAATTTTCCGCTGCGTTCTTGATTTGGTTTCTAAAGTGAGTCACTCAGATATCTGTATGGAAGTTGAATCCCAAACCGAGCATTGTAAAATAACTACCATATTGGATTTCAAACCCCCATGCATTATCCCGACAGTCACTCACACATACACTGATCCATTTTGGGTAAATATAGTGATTAGGGATACAAGTTTTAGCATGAGTGTTTTCATTTCCTTTTTCTCTCATGTTAAGTGCACAAAAACACTCCTTCACGCATTTGTTTGCATGTTCTTCACTATCACTGCTAGAATAGGAAAGTTGTTATTTATATTAACGAAGGAACACCTAATCATTCCCTTTGATAGAGGACGTCATACATGTTAAGCATTTCGTTGAGTTTACATCTGTCATTAATCGCATTGTTCGAGTCTGTATTTCACCATAATCATTTGAGTTGATTCACATTAGTTTTTGAATTGCATTGGTCATATATTAGGGAATCAGTGATTTAATTTGAATAAATACATTGTTAACTGAAATGTATGATATAGAGTCAGGATATAATTTTAAAACTGTTAATGCTGATATTTTAGATGGTTTGGAATTATCCAATACGATTTCTTTATAACTGTTTAAGGTTTAACATGATATTTATGAACTTTTTCAACTCTTAAAATAATTAATGACAACATTTATATTATCGATTTGGTCATAGTTCTATTTTCAATATTGATTGATTAAATAGTTCACAATGTTATTGCCAGTCCACTGATATAAGCCTGACCCTAATCCATTGTTTCTGAGAGTTCTTTCACTTTACCTCACTTCTATATATTCACCCATGCAGCAATGAATTTTAATAATATTTTAGATGGTGAATTTTCAATGCAATCTAGCTAATGATTGAGATGCAGGAAAGTAACTGACGACAAATTAAGATGTAGACAAAGTATATTGAAGATGACAAGTTTCTGCAACTAACTCAACGGAGTCGAGTTTTCTCCTACCCGGGAAGAATGATTAGGATAAGAAATGATAATTTTCATATTTGATTAGTTGACTTTCTTTTTTTTTTAAATTTGAATTTTGAGTTTTGTATTTTGAATTTTGTAATTTAAATTTTGAAATTTGAAATTTAGTTGAGTGATTTGAGGGATTGTTGTTTTGTTTATATTTCTTATTACACGTTGTCTGCATGTAGTTTTTCTTTATAAATAAGGTTGTACGAGACTATTGAAAGGCAATGAATTATTAAATAAAGAAATATTTGTTAGCTAAATTTTGGTGTGAAGCCTTGGATGTGAAACCCTAGGCCTCATGTGTGAAACCCTAGGCCAAATTGTTCTCCTCTGCCACAAACAACCGACAAACCATTTTTCTCCTCATACACAGCCGTCAAATTTCTTCTCTCCCCACGTCAACAATTTCCAAACCTAGCTCCCAACTCCTCTTCATCCCTCTCAACCAGCCACCACTCCTACTCTGAGCAGCCCCCAGCAATCCCACTCTCCACTCCCAAGCATCCCAACGCCCCGCCGACCTCATCCCGACACCTACCATGAGTCTCGACCCGACAGGCACCGCTGCCCTCAGCTTTATCATCTCACTCTCGACTCGTCGTCGCATCACTGTTTAGTTCGACGTCACCGCCGTCATCATCTTCCCGCTTGACGCCATCGCCTGCGCCGTCATCTAGTCGACGTCGTCGTCCTCATCGTCGCCCTCGTCGTCATTAGTTCGCATGCCGTGGTCATCGCTTAGTCGACGCCGTTTGTCATCGCCAGTTCACCCATCGACCCGTCGACCCATCGCCACTTAATAGTCCAGTTCAACGTCGTCGCACATGTCGTCATCCAGTTCGCTGACGCTCGCCTCGTTTTTCAACACTGTCGCACTCGTCGTTATCGGATTCCGCTTCGTCATCGTCGTTCAGTTCACCGTTGTCGTTGTACCACCTCCAGAGGTCTCTCACGTCGAGTCTGTTCAGACCGACGAAGGTTCCGTTTTCTTTCGTCCATTATTTTTCTGTTAATTTTATTTTGTTAGTTAAGTGCATGAGTATACCATCTCTAAACTCTTATCTTATATTCACTGCTGAGATTATACTTGTGAGTAGAGAGCAACTGAACATGTGGCTGTTACAGATCTGATATTGATTTTTAGAACTTGCGAAATGATAATGAATACAACAGTTATATTGTTTGAGATTGGAATTGTTCATGATTATTGATGCAAATTTTATTAAAATCCATCTGTCACATTAATCGTTTTGAATTTAATTTCCTGCCGAAGATGATCATTTTTGGTAAAATGGTGCGTTATTCGATTTAGATCGCTGATTCCGACAGACCCCATGTCATCGTTTTGCATCAGATAGGCTCACTAATTTCACCTAGGAATAATACACCTAGGAATAATACTTACCACCCAGGGTAAAAAAAAGTCAAAAATAATTTCACCCAAGTAGTCTATCTGCCAAAATCAAACTTTTGGGGTAATAACTTCCAAAGCACGACAGTACAGGTGATCTCTGTGCAATTAGCCCTATTTCAATATGTTAACATCTACATGAAACTATCTTAAAGCTGGCATTTTAAACCATCATTACGAAGGTTCATTCCCCTGGAAATAGTGGTTGCTAAGTCACTACATCATACTTATTGAATATAGTGTTTCTGTGTTGCAATTGTCCACTCTTTTTTTTACCATGTTCTTCGTGTCACTCATGTTATCAGCTTTGAAATCACGCTATGTTGGTCGATTCATCATCTTTTTCAAGCGAATCCTGAACAACAATCACAAGGCCCAACTGGTATTCTGAAGGCAAAACCTTGAAATCCATTCTTTCTAAATGTTTTTTATTTTGATTTTTTGAATGAAAATTCTTCTCTGCATGTTAGTTAGGATTAATGAGCTTTTTGGTTATTATCTGTAGCATTAAGTTCTTGTGTTCTGATTAGCAAACCTCTGTAACTGTATGGAGCAATAGGAATCCCTTCGAAGCAAGAGATATTAGTCCAGTGATGTTTTATTTTCAATAGGTCATGAATATGTACTGATGTAAATTAGTTCGTGCTTCTTTTAATGTTTAAGAAATTAAGAATCTAACAAACCAAAAGTATCTACCTGATAATAAGTGTGATATGGAATATAAGAAATTGAATCATGAATCACATATACCTCATTATTCGATATGAAGTTACTGAAAATCATTTGTGATTTTAACTTTTGGGATTGAACTTAATTGTGTTGGACCAAATTGGTTTCTCTAGTTGATGAGCTATCTAGCTTTTCTGTATTATATTTGCGTGCAGGATGTCTCTGCCAATGAAATAAGTACTTCCACAAGTTCATAGAAGTTCCCATTTACTCAAGACAATGATGACATCATAGGTGATCTATCTGCCTGATAAAGTGCTATACCTGAACATCAAGAATTTAATCATGAATAACTTGTTCTCATATAGGTTTTACAGGAGTTAACTAAAATTATCCGTTCTCTTACCTTTTAGGATTGAAGTTAATTGTGTTGGAAAAATATATGTTACATTTCCATAGTCCATCAGTGCCTAGCTCTTTTAGCTAGCACCCCCTTGCAGATGTCTTTGTCAGTGACAGAACTACTTTTGCTAGTCCATTGCAGCTTTCACTCTTGATATAGAGGTGATGTTTAATTTGATGTCAAGTGTACCTTGGTTTTGTTACTGGGAGCCTGATCATCAAAATTATTAATTATTAGAGTCCTGGAAAGCCAATATTTGATATTTCAGAGAAATTTGTGACAGAGAGCATCAAAGTAGCAATATATCAGAATTTAGTTTAGGGCACTGGATAACTATGTCTGTTGGTTTTAACTTTTAACAATAAGGTTGTATATGAGTTTTAAACATTAATAGCTCTTCCCAGCTCTTGGTTCAGTATGATGTCTCACGACAGTTTACTCCTGTCTCCAGTTTTTCCCCCTCTGTTAACCTGTAGTACAATGTAATTCAAGATTTTTTGGGTACTGATATGATTTATAATCTTGCATATGCGTACTAGTTCGGGATAATCTGTTATTTTTTGTAATTGGAATGTGTTTACTTTTTCAAATATTATTTAATTTTATACCAATATGCCTCAGATAATATATTTTGTGGCGCACGCGTTAGATTCAAAAACCTTCTGGAAACTAGACAATTGAAGTACATGCTAAAAATATTATGCAATACAAGGGTGAAGCTATCATCCATGGTTTTGTATGTTCATTTATCATCTGTTCGTCATTTTTTCTTACTTTTAATCTCATGGTATCCATATATTTAAGTGTTGCTCAGTGCCTGTTTCGAGAATAATAATGGCAGCACTAAGTTTATTTTTCCATTTCTCTAGATGTCAAACTGTGTTTTAGTAAGTTCTATTGATCCTTGTTTCTTGAACTTGTCTGATTTGGACATCAAAACTGAAGCTTTATTTTGCTGGAACTTCTCTTGCCATTGTTTCTTGTTCTTCACGGATTTATTCCTTATTCCATTTGCAAATAGATATCTTAGAGAACAGAAACTACTAAAACTATAACAGCTTTGTTTTCTCTAACGTTGAGTAAAATTACTCAGTCCTCCCGATGTCGGAAGAGATGCCACTTTATATACAGATGGGACGTCCCCAAGAATTTTAAAGATGCGAACTAGTAACAGGTAAAAGATGCAGCATGGTATCTCAAGATTTGCATATCTTATCTCCTGTCAAGCTTTTGGCTTATGGGGGGCTCTTTGACCATCTGAAAGCTTGGTTATGAGAACACATACCAAAGAGGAATAGCTAGGCCTTTCCAAAGTGTTTGTGTAGTAAAATTCTATTCTTGTTCTCATCTTTTCCACAATAATTGCATCATATCTTATCCAACCATTTAAAACCACAGATCCATTATCAACTGATTCTCTGCTTTCTTCATGATTGGTTGAACACACCATGAACTCGAACAAATATCTGTCTTTCTGGTGGCAAGATTGATGGATTCTGGTTGTTTTGTCCCTGGGAATCTAGAGTCCTGGAAAAATACTTCCATCCTCTTCCTCTCTGAAAATGAGTATCTTCCCCCCTGCTCCAAGATTCCTGAAAAGGCAGTAATTGATGCGCATGGCTAGCTTCTATGACTTTCTGTTGAACCGAGTGGTTTAAGTGCCGCCATAAACTAGGCATTTATATTTGGTGTGCGTGAACAGTTAAAGTCAGAACGTATCTTCTCGCCTTTCCCTGCTTGTGTCATGGCATTGAATCTTTGCAAATGGGGACATATAGAAATTCCATTGAGATAGATAGATATGCAGACCACCACTAGATTCCTCCAACTTGTGGAGGGGGACCACAGTGCTGAAGACTGATACCAAGATTTCGAGATAGAAAGTGAGGGAATCCACGCTTACTGCTGGACTGGAGATGATAAGGATTCTAAATTTCGGCGGAAGTGTTCTAAAGGACCACTTTGTAATAGTGTTAAGTCTATTGCCCCAGTCAACTTCTTAGATAGGGGCAGCTTGGTTCATTTTCTTCTTGGATCCAAACCCGCCACACCATAGGAAAAGAGATTACTTTTAATGCTATACAACTTGGGTCGAAATAGGATTCTTATCATTATAAACACCTGAAACCGACATGAAGACTTTGCATTTTCTATTGAACATTTATGGATACGGACAGTGCTTGTGACAACAAAGAGAGATATATAATAATAATATAACATGGTTTTTTTCCAAAGCCTAGAGGTTATTGGAATTGTACATCATTTTTCAATGATATTCCATATCAGAAACCTAGGCTCATGGACTAGAATCAGCTTTGTTTTCCTTTTCCTTTTAATATTTTTATGGAGGAATATAATCAGTTATTTCATATTGTGATAATTGTTGAAGAATCTATTGATATGTAAGGCCTACGGGAGGGGAGTATTATTATATGCACAAATGCTTCTTCTAAAGTAATCTCTCTTTGCATCAGCTCTTTCTTTTCCAACATCAGAGGAGCTGCTTTCAGGGTTCTTTGAGGATGTGAATAAAGGGGCATCGACTTGCCGCTTGTGAGGTTCTCCATAGCAACTTGCAGATAGCATATTAGAATTTCAAAAGCTGGGGAATCTATCAGATTCAGGTTTTAATCTCACTCCACAAACGCTGCAGTTATGATTCCAAGCTGATATTTATACGCTAGCATTTGTATTTGTGCAGAACACGGTTTTATTAGAGTATAATGGTGCTTTTGTTAGAGGATAATGGTGCTTTTGTTTCTTTATTTATTTGTTTGAGTAAAATTTTCCAATTCATCATTTATGCCAATTTTGGAAATTGTATTGTGCATATTATATAATCCCTCTCCTCTGAATTGTGGCCAATTCATATGCCCTGATTTTTGGTGCATCCCCTGTCTGGAACACAAAAGCGGATGACCTGATATATATTAGAAGAACACTAATTACTAATGATTTGGTGAACCATTTTGATATATTGAATGTGATTCTGAAATTTGGAGGTTTTGAACTTTTACTATAGATATAATTATATTCTGAGTTTTTGTCATACTAGACCCTAAATTCTTTCCTTATTTTACATGAGACCCCAAATCTATTAACTTGTTTTAAATAACATCCCCTGGTTAGATTGAATTGTAGCTAATCAACATTTGTTGTTATATAAATTAACTTAATAGATTTGATGGTATAATTTAGAACTATGAAAATTTGGGGGCTAAATATGACATTAATGAAGAATTTAAGGTCTAATATAAATAATTAATAGGTTTGGGGATGTTATTTAAAAGAATTAATAGGTATCTGGTGTAAACTAGAAACAAGAAGATTTGGGGGCCTGATACAAAATTAAGAAAGAACTTAGGTTCTAATATGACACACACTCTTATATTTATGTATATGTTTACACGTGTGCTTAGGCATGTCCAAACGGGCCGGGCAAAACCAGGGCCCGGACTTGGACCCGGTTGGCCCTGGTCGGGCCCGGGCTCGGGCCTGAGCGGGTCGGGCACTAGGTCGGCCCGTTTTTTTGCTTTTTTTATTTCAAGAATACATAGCAAAAAATTAAACGAAATTTTGATAAAAACAATCATATTATTAATCATTGTAATTGTATAATTTACAAATACAAAAAATCATAGAAATTAAAATGATAAAAATAAATTCTTTATTAATAATCAGCTAATCACTAACAATTATAAGTTTATTTTGGAAGTCGTCGCATCACAATAGATGAATACATCCCAACTAGGTTGGTACCTACTCATCTATATCACTATCATTTGTAACTTTTTCCAAAATAATTTATCACAAATTTTTAGCTAAGAAATAAAAAGTACAAAGTGATGAATAATCTCTACTCTTTATCTCTATCTGTTAGTCCCAACTCTTCAAATTTATCTTTAATACTAGCCATCCGATCGATGCTTTGAATTCTTTTCTCGTACCTCCACCAATCTTGTAGGCACATTACCGCCTGTACGGTATACAGATCAAATGATGTCCTGTGATCATCGATCAAACGTCCTGTTGTATTAAAAGCGGATTTCGAAGCTACCATGAAAACCTGCACTGTTAGTAAGTTACGAGCTATGATGGAAAGTATAGGATATAAAACCGTTCCATATACTTTCCACCATTGTAAAATATCGAAACTATTATTTTGACATTTAACTAAAGATGCAGTTAAATATTGTTCAATTTCAGATCCAGATCTACCAGTTAGCTGAGCTATCATTAATTCCCTATCAAAACTCATACATTTGCCCTGACTTGAACTCGTAGAAGCAGAAGCTGTAGACTGATGTGTACTTACATCATATCTAGCTGCATACTCATCGTATAATCTTTGAAAATAAATTCTAATAGTATTATGATGAGTAAGAGTAGTAATAGTTTGACCATCATTAGTGTTTATTATCATGTTACCATACAAAAAATTTAACAAATCTTTGTGCTTTTTTGTATTTGAGATTTCTGAAGTTACTCATGATGACCAATTAGATGGATAGTTCACACACACAAAAAGTATCATCACAAAAAAATAAACATAGAAATAAATGCACGTGCACTATACTAGTTTCACTAAATGCACTTTTATAGAGTACTGTTCACATAGATTGTCATGCATAATTACCAAAATGACTAGCGAATGTTCTGAAGTATATACAAAAATCTCAATCGATCATATTAAGCTGTCTATCGCGTTCAGACTGCTGACTACATATCACCATACCCTTACAACCAAAGTGGATCACTAAGCTGGTAACAATAGTTTTGTATAAATACTTTTCTCCCTATGATGAAAGATGTGAAGGGGACTGGGGAAATCGTTTTTCTGGAGATGCTTTTAGTCTGAATAGAAACTTTGATCTAGTAGGGAGCAGAAAAGAACGGCTAATAGTTTTTGTTTACCTTACTTTCATTTGGAATTTACACATCCTATCTAAGCCATCATTAGCCATCATTACAGATCAATTTCATTATATTTGTGCCTCTAATACAATCTGGGTTTGCCTGTTCCTTGTACTTTACAAGTATTGTAGTTGTTTAGAATGATAAACGACTTTTGTTGGTAACAGATCATAGGTAGAAAGTTCAAATTTGAAATATGGTGAATACATTTGTTGAACTGTCATTTTCTTCAGTTTGGGGGCCAGTCTGCGTTTGATGTTTGCATTGGTCATAATATTCATCATTCTATAAATTAACACTTTAAGATTAAAAGTTCCCAATTAGCATAGTTAATTATGTATCTTGAAATGTCTCTTTCTTGAGCTTTGAAGCCAATTTGAGTATTAATGTTTCAGGCTAGTGCGTAAGGCAAATCAATTTAAACTAAGAACATGCATCCTTTGCTTAGAAAGCAGTAAAGAGGGTCGTATTTTTAAGTAAACCTAGGAATGAAGTTACATACAGTTAGGAAGAGGCATACGTGTAAAGGCGACGGTTTCTGCTGATCATTGACAAAATTGCTGAAGAGCTGAAAGAGAAGATGTTGGAGTGCCCAATATGAACAGATGGAGCTTATTTAATATACAAATTCTTGGAGGTCAGAATTGTCTGAGGGAGAGTAAAAAATGCACTTTACAGTATTAGATGAAGGTAGTGGAAAATGATTTGGAAAAATTCACTAGCAGATGTATCATACATTATAGTTGTCGGTGAATATCCCCTTGATCACACAATGGTAAAAAGTCCTCAATTTGAAAAAAACAAATGTCCTTCTATTTCCTCATAGAACAGATTCTATCCTATGGTTCTATGAAAGGAATCCTGTGGGCTTAATTTCCCTTATTCTTGGCCTACCAACTTTATGGAAAAATATATATATTTCTACTTTAATGGAGTGATGTAAATAAATCTTACATGCACAAAAATCTTGGCATTTCACAAGTTGTTTTGTGCTGTAAGCTACTAATTTGATTCATGATCAAGTGCTTGTGGAGGCCATAAGACAGGATATATGTGGGCCTAGAGGAATGAAATGACAGTGTGCGATGTGTAATTGATATTAGCCTTTTACCAAAAGTAGCTTTGATGTAGAACACTAAATAGAGGAATATACCATAAACAAAAGCCATATTCTGGTTGCAGAGATTTACCTGTAGTTTTCCGCCGACAGTAAGTCATACATACTCTAGTCTGAATTTTTTCTAGTGCTGATGTGGATTTTAGCTCTTAAGCATTTCTTTATGCCGTTTGGTTGATATTTTGCTTGATGCATGCATTTACTTGCACTTGTTTCTGTTGGTTGTATGTTAAAAAGCCTCACGCATTCTTATCTAGCCTTTTCTTGGTAACTTAACTTTCTATTGCCTTGGGTTGGCATATAAATATCTGGTCATTGCTAGCTGGATCCATATATTGTTGAATTGATCTGATACTGCTTTTCTTCATGAACACAACACATAGCTTGATGTAATGTGCATGCTAACTTTAGAACTAGTAGCTCCATTAAGTATTCCCATGATTTATTTCCTATATGAGAATCAAACTATTAAGTTTTCTGTGTGGTGAGGACTTAGCTTGTAGTGGGAACTTGTGGTGTGATCCAGTTCAAAGTACCAGAGCCAGCTATTGAGCAATTGGGAGATAGCTTAGAATGGAGGTGTAGCCCCTTCACTTCAATGTCCTTACAATCTCATCATGGGGGGAAAGGAAGTCCTCCACAAAGCATTTAGCTTTTAAGAGGCAGGCCAAAAAGGACTTCTTTAGCTACTATACCTTGAGCTCAAGTCATTATCAAGGGATGCCATAGTGATGTTACACCAAAATAATCAAGGTGCTTTTGACCTCCACTGAATTGAAACTTTGTGCATGATAGAGTAGAAATTATAAATCTCAACCCCCATCACAACTTTGGAGTTTTTATGCAGTGAAAGAGACTTTCAGATGGTCGAACAACAAGTACAAATTTATTAGAGCACCCGCAAAAAAAACATGTAATATGAACCATTCGCGGAGGGTAGGGGGACATTTTAGGGATTTTAACTATTCTTTTAATGGTTCCAACTGTTGGAAATTGTGATTAAATCTGGAATAAAACAGTAAAAGTTGATGTGCTGTAATTTTAAACTTTTTAAAATTAACTGCTGAGCGATTGTGAAATGCTGTGCTTAAAGTAATATTTGACCTACTTTGGTGCAAGGATCCCAATGCCAAACTATTTTCAGGAATAGCAGTACAATACTTTGGTGTGCACCAACCCAGTACTGTTAAGATCTCCTCGATCTATAAGACCTTTCGGTCAAGGTAAAGATCTCATTGATTTCAGAACCTTTTGGTTCAAAACCTTTCGGTTTCAGGGCAAGTTTCTACGGACACAACTTCTGCAGTAGTAGCACAACAACAACAACGTCAAGATATCCTCGATCCGACGTTCGTTTTTCAAGTTCGCACCAAGAGCTGCCCAAGGGGCGCTATTTATAGGCCTCTAAGGCCAGCTCAAGAGCCACCTTCAATTAATGTGGCTGTTATAAACCATAATGGTAATTATGATTGTAACAACAATCTATTAAATTGATGTAAATGTTGTTGTAACTGCTGCATGCAGTAACTCCTGAATACGAGGCAATCAATGTACACGTTACTACGAAACGCGAGGGTCACGTCTCAACAAATCGGACGAACCTCGTCCGTAGGACGAACCTCGTAAAACGGGCGAACCTCGTCGAACGAGCGAACCTCATCAAACAGGCGAACCTCGTCAAACGAGCGAACCTCGTCGAACAGGCGAGCCTCGTCGAACAGGCGAGCCTCGTCGAACGAGCGAACCTCGTCAAAAAGGTAAAACCTCGTCAACCAATTGACGAACCTTGTATGATTACGAG